CTATTAGCAGCCCGTCACCAACAACAACAAGCCAATGAGCAAGTAAATAAACTGGCAGAAACACCTGCCCCTGCATCCAGTGGGCCTGTCGTCAATGTCAATTTCCCTCCCAAGCTGTTCCAAGCTATTCGAGGCCTTTCCGAACCTATGGCACCTCAGTTTACAATGCCAAATCTTGCCCCTGCTGTATATTCTGCTCTGTCGTTGCTATCTCCTACACAACTTAGTTCTCCAGGACCTTGAATGGCTCTCATTGACTTCTGCTCAACATATGAGATTTCCGATACACTCCAGAAAAACTCCTTGAACACGGCTTCAATTCTTCACACTCTTTGTGCCATGTGACCATTGATGACTTGCAGAAGGCTGGCCTGCTTTGTGGGGAACTCGCAGAACTGAAAGATGCCATCTCGCAATGGTGTGGGGAGTAACTAAATACTATGCATGTCTCATTATTGTTCAAAGTCGTAATGCTGTCCCTTGTTGTGTATCAATCATGCTGTAACGCTATACTGTAAAACTTGGGCCTAAAAATAATCGGTGTAGAGACTTGTGTTTCTCCAGGCTCATATGGGCCAAATTCACGCTTTTTCACGATGCCCTCGATATCCTTGCAACGCGCCTTCTAAATCTGAAACGCGCCGCGAATGCGACAAACACGCTTTCGCGTTAGCGCGTTTCTACCCATACACACTTTCGCATATCGAGTATCCACATTCCTGCAGTCGCGCATCCATAATAACGCGCTTCTGTCGTGTTCTGTCGCGTTTCGTCTTATTGCCTTGTCGCGTTTCGCATTTCGTCGCATTTCGTCTTATCACCTTGTCGCATTTCGCATTTCGTCGCATTTTGTCTTATCGCCTTGTTGTGTTTTGCGTTTCGTTGTGTTTCATCTTAGTCACATTGAGGCGATCTCAACCTGGCTGGGCTGATATGAAATATCTAAAAATGCTCAACCAGTATAAGTGAGTCTTGGCTCTGCCTAGCTGCTATACTCGCAGAATGCAAGAACGTTCGACCCTAAAGGGGACTGCTACTGAACACAGAACCAGATGAAAGAAAGACCCTTGAAGTGCGATGGATGCGCGAAAGCACAAGAAGAAAAGCGAAGTGAGCGCGAAGCGCGAGAGAGCGCACTAAGGTAAGCGCGAGCGTGGGAACATGAGCGCTAAGGCGCGCGTTGTGCGGAAAATACCGGATAAGGAAACAGATAAGGAAGCGGATGTGCAAAGCGAGTGCAAACGCAGAGCGAGTGTTATAATGAGCGCGGATAAAGGTCTAGTATAGGCGGATAACGATAACCATTGGAAACACAAAGTGCGCCCAAGTGGTGACTACTACTTTAAAGTAAAACCCAATAGCGAGGGAAGTACAGCAAAGGGGAGTAATAATGATGGTGTAGTAAGTCAGCAACTTTATACTATGGAAATCGCATCGGAAGCAGAAGGGATAGGAGCAATAAGTGCTATGAATACGTAATGACATGTAATAACGCTGCAATGCTTGTTACAAACCACGAGGCAAGGCATATGACGTACCAATGAGGTGGATGGACATAGAGGGACGTTCCTGGATGATAGGCAATGCAGGGCAATGCAGGGCGCTTAAGTGCAATAAAGCGCGCAAGGTGCGCGTGTGGGAATGCTGCGCGTTGTGCGGGAAAGTACCACGCCTATGGCGCGTTTCGCGGGAAAGCTGCGCGTTATGTGTAAAACGACTAGGGACATGATAGAAGTCGAATATAGCTGATGGTGCAAGTCGTGCATTGCAGGCCAATTGTCATGAGTTGTGAAAAGGTGCGAAATGTGCCCATATGTGCCTGCAGAAACGCGAGTCTCTACAACGTTTCGTGTTTCGTCGTGTTCTGTCGTGTTTCACCTTTGTCGCATTTCGTCGCCTTTGTCGCGTTTTTTGCGTTGGTACGGTCGCATTTCACCTTTCGCGTTTCACCTCCTATACTGTCGCCTTTATAGCGCCTCGCCTTCTCTCATCCTCGCATTGACGAACCCTCGCTACTGCCTGCTCGCACCTTCCTGATTACACCCATATGCGCTTTGGCGCGTACCAGCGCGTTTGAGCGCATTACATCAGACTTCATTGCACTTCCCTAGGATCCATCGCCCATCCTCCGCATGTCCTGTCCTAGTCCTCCAAGGTCCATCAGTGTGTGCTCTTTTCACTAGAACTCATATGGCGTCACACAGGCACTTGTACTTATCACTATGTTTTATTATGGACCCTGACTTACCTCATCACCTACCTTAGTGCTCCCTACTCAGTTCCGAGGCCTGGGAACTCGCTTAGCATACTTACACATCAGCATGTTCATTTTTCGGTTACTCACTTCCGCTCCACTACCATCGAAGTGTATAGTTGGGGTTTCTATCAGAATACACTGTTTTTTCCCTCCTATTGGCGCTTTGACACCTTAAGTGTCTATTTCTACATCTATCAAAGCCCTGATTCTCCCATTTGATTGTCACCTCCACTTGAAGCACTCCGTTGTGATCGCACAAAGTGCGCTTTGACATTGAAACGTGCTTTTCCGCACTTTCTGCCTTATTAGCGCCTTTAGGCGCCTTTAGCTAGTGCTCTTCGCCTTTGGGCGCATTACTTGCCTCAGCGTCCCATCCAGGCTTCAAGACCAAACCGCTGGTTATAGATCCCCCTCACCTTTCACTAGAGGAATCTTTCTCAGTAGCAATCCCCTTGGGACGACTTTCCACTCGTATCCAGAGGAGCACTTGAGAGCCCACTTCCCACTCTTCCCCCTAGCATGCAGCTATCATTCCTCGCCCTCATCGGAATGATGAATGTAGCCATGAGCATCCTCCACTGTTAAGGTAGACAACATCCAAATTCAACTACTGCTCTCACGTGATCACATGACCATTCCCATGGCCAAATCTCAAAGCTCAACAATTCAAAACCACTATTTGCTGTGAAAATCACTTTGACAACATCAAAACAAAAGATATTTTCAATCAAATCAACTTTTTTCACTCTGATAATACAATCACACTTGTAAATAACCATGCAGCAGATAGCACTTAGAGTATCAAAAGAGTATGGTTACAACTGACTACTGGCTAGTAGTGGTAACTTGAAGCCAGGTATTATGTAAGCTACCATATATGGGTATATTAAATCATGTGATGTGGCCAAATCCACAGGGCAAATATTTTATTTTCCACCTATAACGTCAGAAATGTATTTGGGGATGAAATAAAATGAATAGAAAAAGGCGGAAATAAGTCTCTCAAATTTTGGTTTTGAGAAAATTTGAGACCATCAATCTATCCAGAGAGGTCTTAGGAACAGATTAGTGCAAAAAGAATGTCAGGAAAGTGGATAAGGAAAGTGCAATAAGTTGTGCAAAACACTGTCTCAAAATGTGGCTGGATTTGGATGTCGTCTACCTTATGATATCTAGTGCCTCTCGTAAGTCATACAGAATGCCATCATTATCAGCAGCAGCCGAAAACAAGTCATTGTTGCAATGAATCTATGCTTTGAGCTTTTAGAATGCCTCCTCAATGGGGTTGAGATCCGGGGAGTAGGAAGGCAAGAAAATGATTCGGACACCTAGTACCAAGCTCAGGTTAGAATAGCATATATTCACGAAGCCTCACATCAGCATACCATATCTATCTGCGAGTTCCTGAACCTCTTTGCCATGATGAATTCAGGCATTGTCCATTATTAGGACACTGTTCCTTCCTGGGTAAGCTTCACAGTGAGGTAGCTATAACCAAAAATTAGCATAATGAACAAAAATGTGACAGTCAAATTTATGACGGAGTGTTTAAGATAATGAAGATAGCCCACTCGTCGTAGGGATCCTTCAACTACATGTCTGGCAATGACTCCATCAATCGTTAGGGCAGCAGTGATTGTGAAACATCGACCGCTGTGGGTATCACAACCTGGCAGGCACATATAAGAAAAGTGCTCAACCAGTATAAGTGAGTCTCAGCTCTGCCTAGCTGCTATACTCGCAGAATGCAAGAATGTTCAACCCTAAAGGGGAAGCAAGGAAAGCAAGGATCCATGGAATGATGCTGAACAACCGTGGTGAATGGTGGTGAAAGTGTGAGAAACGCGCTGAAGGCACGTGTGGGAAAGTGAAGTGTGAAAGTGTGCGAAGTGCAGGAAGGTAGTGCAAACGGTGCACAAGTGTAGAAGATGTGTACTGAGACTGATAAGAGGAAAAGTGCGGATCTAGACAGATACTGATAGTGCCACTAGCTATAGACTGATGCTAGGGCCTCAAGATGATGATGGATACATGCATTGCATGGAACTAACTGCCAACTAACATGGTGGTAGAAGATACTGAGTGGTGAGAAGCTAAGGTGGAAAAGTTGGGGTGTAAAACAAACATGAGAGTATGTAAGTTCTACCTAAGCGCTCTCCCAGGGCTCGGAGCCAAATAGGGAGCACTCTAAGTATGTAAGTGAGGTAAAGTGATGTAAAGTCAGGGTCCATAACGAAATAGGAAGTGTAATATGCCAAATATGGTCAGATAACGAAAAGGGACATACCAAGGGACTGGTTGGACGATGGATGGATGCTCCTGGATGATGCGTGATGCAGGGCGCTTAAGTGCAAGAAAGCGCGCAAGGCGCGCATGCGGGAATGCTGCGTGTTGTGCGGACAAGTATTGCGCCTATGGCACATTTTGCGGGAAAGCTGCGCATGATATGCAGAGTCGACTGAAGACTTGGTGGAAGTCATAGTGGATGATGGTGCGAGTTGTGCCATGTAGGCCAGTTGTCAGAATTCGTAAAAGAGCCCATATGTGCCTGCAGAAACACGAGTCTCTACACCACATACAAATGGACCTCTCATAGATGCCCAGCAACTCTTCTTTGCTCGACCACATCTCCGAAACTGGGTTTGCTCATCCTTCAAAGTTTCATCAATGAATACAAGCTTGTGGGGCATGTATTGAGCCATACATCATTTGAAATCTGCTCAAAGGTCTTCATTTCTCTCACTCACGATCTTGCAGAGCTTTTCAATGAGACTCCAGCACATACGAGCTCCCGGTGGATGGTTGTGTAGTGCATAGCAACAAAATGATTACGTTTCATGAGAGCTGTAAGTTCGTTGAGGAACCAGTCCAGATGATGATAAATGAGCTCGAGAAGATACTGTAAGTCTTCAAAGTTGAGAGTCCGTGGACGACCAAGATATTCACTTCTAGGCTTGACAACATTGCCAGTCTCGTCATGGAGCTTCTTGATGCGATAAAAGGTACAACACAAGAATCCTACACAGTCCAAGATATCACTTAGCTGAAGTATGCCCTGCTCGTGAAGACGGATAGCTGCAAGCTTGAGATTGGCAGATATTTTCCTGTTGCCCATGGATGCAAGCTCAAAGTTCGTAGCAGTGTTATGTAAATTTTCACTAAGTTCTTTTTCGGCGCTCGTTGTTGTTATATGTTTTCAATTTGCACCGGTGCCATTATATTTGCACACAGCTGTAAAAGATAAAATTGACTAGTCTTTATTATTCAGGCTACAACTTCTTGAAGTGTGCCTCTAGCTGAACTGGTGAAAACTATATATTTATGTGTTGTGAAAACTGTATAAAGATACCTAATCAAAAATCATTGATAATGTGTTGACCAAGTATGGTATAGTCTAACACGGTAAGACCAAAGAACTGTTCAAAATCATATTTAGGTAACAATGAACTTCAGTTTTCACATGAATTACAGTCAATAACTATGACTTTGGTTTATTGACTAATAGAACACTGCTTGGACAGCCTTTTCAGTTGGAAAGCTGGAATGTACAACTTTATTGCCCAGGTTCTGGAAGCTATATGGCAATGTGCTTAGTACACATCTTAATGCATCATATGGAAGCTTCCTCTTATCCTAACAAGAGAGCTTATCAAATATAAAAGTAACCATCGAGTCCAGTCACTAGTCTAGTATATTCTGTCCTGTCTGATAGCTGGCTAGGAGGAGTTCCGGCATTTTAAGGTTGTACACTGTTATCAGTTTTGTTTATGTATTATTAATGATAATGGCAGTCCGTCTCTTAATTTTCATCAGCATATTTTAGTTCTGCAGTGAAGCTGTAAAATTTTGAACTAATATCACAAAATGGTCACTTACCTTTATGACCTGTTTCTGAAGGTTACTCTTCTGTACCTTAATTTACTGACCTTCTTTTGGAGCCCATTTATTCTATCTTTGTGATTCTTAATGTCTTATCTATCTTCTCTGTAAGCCTATCTATTTTCTTTTGATACTTTTTAAGGTCATTCTGGAATCTCTTTTACTCTGCCCCCTTCTTGCTATTGAGCTTGTACACATTAGTCAAACATATTGACATGAGGAAGTTTACAACTTCATTAATTTTCTTCTGCAGTCTCTACTTCTTTTCTGAACTTCTCATTTTCTGATTTTTGAACAATATTATGTAAGTCTTGATCCTCATAATGCCTCTTAAGATTGGTGATGTCAAGTCACAATATATTCCAGAATTGTGTGATATTCAATAAAGAGTCCATAGTGACATCTAATGAATCCATAGTGAGGATAAATTGGACAATGTAAATAGTAAATCAGGGGATTTATTAACATTGTCTAATTTATCCTCACCATGGATGCCTCAGATGTTACCACAGACTCTTCAGCAGATTTTGCCTTTTCCTTTCCTGCAGTGTTCAACATCACTGAGCAAGGAGATGTCAGAATCAAAATCTACATCCATGAAATTATCATCTTGATTCCAGGGTACCATGGCTGAAGTTGGGACCTTTCATGAAGTGGAGAAATTAAGCCTTGCAAGACACAAGGATCAAAACATGCATGAATAGAAAGAGGTGAGTAGGTCATCCAAGTTGGAGACATCATCTTGCAGCAGCTCGGAGGCAATGGCCCTCAAAATGCTGTACAACTGCTACTCCATTTTGTTTACATTAATATTTATGTCGTGACTAATCTTAAACAAACAAATTTCAGCGCTCAACACTCCTTATACCTCCTAAAAGACAGTACAAAAATGGGGAACAGGTTACAGGACCAAGACTCGCTACTGCTTGTATACCAATACACGTCATGATTCATCGATGGAGAACAGACGAAGCTAAACAGATACCCTAATCAAATGCTGCAAGGCCGTGACATCCATGTCCGGATTCCGCGGAGTGATACTGCAAGGGAATGGCATAGGTCGCCTAACAGCCAAAAATCAGTAAGCCATCTCTCCAGAGAAATCCTACTAAACCCCACGTACACGGTAAGCCCTCCATGCCAGTGTGGTTTGATCTCGATTTCTCTACCAGTCTCGTCTTTGGCCTTGGAAAAATTGAATACTGAAAGCATACCGACCATGCCAGACCATATAGAAGCTTCGGCGAGGTGGCGACCAGGGCATATCCGTCGTCCAAATCCCCACACGACACTCACAGTGTCATCAGTCAGAGTGCCATCTGTGTTCAGGAAACGGTCAGGATTGAATTCGGACGCATTTGCGTATTTATCTTCGTTGTGGCACATCGCCCTGAGGAGGATTAAGTTGCAAACCACAGAACAATTGATGTTCGTACCAAACATTCGGGGTAACCGTAGCGCCTGTGCTGCGAATGAACATGGACTCCAGGATGAGAAGCAACTCGCACACCTTTGGGTATGTAATAACCTTCGTAAACGTCATCTTCGACAGCAGCATGCATGATCGCTGTAATGGATCAGTAATCCAGTCCCGTTGTGCTGAGGTTAGCAACGCACCAAGAGGGAAAACCGGGCGCCACCGCATGCACTCCCGTAAAATAGCGTCAATGTAGGGCAAGGATGGACGATCGTGGAATGTCGGCAGTCTCTTTGAGCCAACCACACTATCAACAAGTGTGTGCGCTTTCTGTTGTACATCTGGGTAGAGAATCATCACCAGCAAGAAATTCATCAACACAGCGGCTGTCTAGTAGTTGTCAGCGTTGGACCGAATCACTGGCTGCTGCTTTCGGCCTACCGTCTCTGTACCAGCTGGTCAAAGACACTCCCATTCAGCCTAACAAGTCTACACTGAAATGCATTTGCTCACCCCCAAAAGCGGTTGCTGCAGAATCCTTTACCGCTTTCTTCATCCAGGCAGAATCACCGTAGCTGTGATCAAGCTCCAGCAAATGGTCAGAGACCATGCAAGAAGAAATGGACCCCGTAGCCTGAAAAGAATTTAAGAATAAAACATCTCACGAAATGTTGCACTTACCAGACCACTCTCCGTGTACGCAAATGGTTTTTCCAAGCTTTCTGTGGCCAATTCCTTGGCTAAAGGTGAAACTCTCTTGAGGCGCATACCAGGGAGCCAAGAGGGGAGACGGAGAACTACAAATTAGATGGTAAGAAGCTGCTGTATATGATGAACGACCGAGCTTACGGGAAGGGAAAGCACTAAAAATGGCAGCTACCTCCGGTCTCATCTCTTTCAGGATGATATCCAGAGCCATGACTGCACGCTCATCATGTGGTCATTACGCCGTGCTGCATCATACGAGTACACGGCAGACATGATGACTGAACCTGAATAACTGGAGGACTGTCTCAATACCGAAGTACTGGGAAGATGCGCATAGAAATCCACTCACACTTCAAAAAGTTTCGGGTAGTCCAAAGGATCTTCCAGGAGGTTCAATAAAATTCATGACTTTTCGTTACTTGCATGGGCTGAAAAAAGGGAACTGCGTCTTCTCGGAAGGACTGGTGAATAATTTTCCGATGAAGCCGCCATCTGCTACCGTAACGCATAAAGGCGGTAGTATAGTCGATACCAAATCTTCATAACTAATTAATAAGAATACTTGAGAATTCGAATAATTCATACAATTCATTGGTTGCGATGTCTGGTCGGTCAGAATAATTCTGTGAGCGATGTTCAAGGAGGTCTCTTGCAACTCGCTCAGAGTTGATGACGATGTTATCCTGACCAAAAAGCCGAGTGTATACGACGTCGCCTAGGAAACATTAGTTACTCATGGTGACCTGCATTCTGTGGGACGACTTGCCGTATTGATCGCCCCAAGCCTTGTAGGTAAGCCAAGGGGCAGTCACATCAACTGCCAGTGCACTGCCTAGGATTGGGAGTAAAGGGGGACCCGGTGGTAATTTACCACTGTGAGGCAGCTTCGGTTTGGCAAGGTAACTTCTGAGTGCCAAACTGACGGCAAAGGTGGCAAGAACTACTTCAAGCCCACCCGTGAGGAGGTCTGACATAGCCAGGGTTGATAATACAGAGCGAGCGCTACTGGACGGGAGTTTAGTAACTGGGGTTTTTATATTGACAAGCGCAAAACAAATTACCTTATAAGCGAGGCTAGAGCCTTGCCAAGAGCGTGATAACTCGGATGACAACAGAGCAAATGTTACTCCGAGCTATTGAAATTACATAAATAGACAGAAGTAGTGGTTATATATGGATGAATTGATGACAAGTACGTCTTCGGTTCCCTGGCTCTTCAAGGTACGAGCAATCAATTAATCAACTGTGTGTACGGACACGTCACACCGTACCTTGGGGTGACACAACTTCTGGGAACTAGATGAGTAGTAGACGGAATACTCCTATAGATAAGTATACATCGAAACGAATCAATTCATTTGGCCCAAGGTTCGCCTCTAAAAACCGGTCCTAGTACATACCTGGCAAGACCATGTTTCAGGAATTGATCATCAACCATGCACATGACCTGCCCCTCGATTACAGCCTAGTATCACTTTAGGTTATTAAAAGTTCAATCACCGTTCTTCACAGACATGTACGACAGACCGACCAGTTGCCAATCTTATCTTCCTGGCCGATGTGAGTCCACGGCAGAATTCGGTTGTGTTCCGAACTCATCTAAAGTATATGATATATGGATTCGCACGATTCGTGAATCAATGATACTCACTAGTCGTTTTGGAGCTCCTTCCAATATCCTGATGGAGTATTCCATTGAAATTCCAGCTGCCTGACGTTCAGGGTATGCCGACACGACCGGGACTAATCCGAGGGGGACGCGAGCCGCTGGATTGGTACCGATCGAGGAAACGCAAAGGTCTGAGCTTGCTGTTCGAGTACAGGAAACTGGAGAGGTGGCACTTGTCGCTCAAGAGTCAAGACTATGACGGACACAAACGGACAAAAATATTGATTTCTTTTGTTTCCCGATATGGAATTTCGATTTCGATTCGACTTTCGCTTTCGGCTTTCGACGCGTGGCTAGCCAACTGATAACTCGTTCACCGACCGTCACAAGTGCATCTGTACCATGCCCGAGGGCAATTCAATCAACAAATATTTATGATTCTTCCATGCAACTCAGCGACAGAGTTCACGTCACCCTCAGGACACAGCTGGGTGATATACCC